GGTAGGTAAGATGAGTGACGGTTTTACGGTAAAGATACTGTCTTTTTCAAAGGCACCTAGTCTGCTTTAAATATGCTCAACGAAAATGCTATGAAGTCCGACCAGTACCCAAACACAGAAACAATGCTTAATCCAGACCAGATTCTCTCGCATGGTAAAGTCGAAATTCAATGGAAAATACCTTTTTTAGAAATTCAGCAGCTTTCAAACACTTAACTGGGCCCAAATCAACTTCAGATGCCTGTATTCGTTCCAGGGTTTCCCTTTCGGCTGTAACTTTAAAGGGTGTGAATCCGGTGATCATCTCAAAGGCCACGGCACCCAGGCTCCAAATGTCACATCGGAAATCGTGCATAAATTCCATGGACGTCATTTCTGGCGCCAGATATGCCAGTGTTCCCCAAACAGCCGTGCGCCTGACAGTCTGGTTTAAGTTATTTTCAGTTACTTTGAAGCTGGACTGTGGACAGCGCAGCCAAAATCGGCGACCTTCAATTCCCCTCTCAGACCGATAAGGACGTTGGAAGGGTTGATATCACGATGGATCACGTTTCGTTGGTGGCAATAGGAGAGAGAACTTGACAACTGATACACATACTGTGGGCGAGTGGGAATTCTTCAAATGTGAAAACCTACCGTAGCTGAGCGCCTAGCAGTAAACTTAAATTTTTGCATTTCCTTAGCAAGATCACCGTTTGGGACATATTCCAGAATAACATACACTCGTTTGTCGTCGTAAAAATACCCATACAGACGGACGATATTAGGGTGCCTAAAGAAATTAGATGGCCTCTCTTTACTTGAGATGAGACTGTATTTCAATTTCCCGCTGTAGTTGCTGCATAGTCTCCGGTGTCGAAAAGTGAAGTTTGAACATTATCTACGAAAGTCAAAAGATTATTAGGCAAACTTTCAAGGAGAAGACGAAACGACTTTGTTTCTCCCTTGCAAGGTATACCGAACCAAATCTCCCTTTTCCTAGGTTCTTCCCTATGTCAAAGTCACTGAGGGACCATCTTTTGACAGGCCTGTATAACAACACCATGAAGAAGAGAAGGATAAGTTACGGTGTCAACTCGCCGGGACTTGCTCTGGACGAAACTCCGCCCGGAAGTAGCCTAAGCCTCTGCGGATCATTGATAAACTGGCGGTGTAAAGTAGAACACCCCTTTCGAACAAACGCACCAGAGGAAGGAGGAGAGGAAGGCATATCGGCCATGTCACGAGCGGGCCAACGGTTGCGACAGAAGCTTCGCACGAGCCACTTTTTTATTGGTACTTTCCCAAGCAGT